ATCTATCACAGTGTAGTGTCTCGTGTGTGGAGTACCGTGAAACCAGTGTTACAACGGATCGAGGCCGAGTTCGACAAAAATCCACTAGAGACAGTCAGTGAGCGAGAGGCTGGTGAAGCTGAGCTATACGGTCCAATTGTGGCTGCCGCGGCCGCTTCACAATGCGATTTTCCAACATCAGATGATGATCAAGTTCCGGCACCGAATCGCTTTCTGTCCGCGCATTTGAATAGCCATGGATCAGAAGATCTGGACACTTCAGAAGCGGTATTCATTAAACAGTTCGGTAAGTGAGTTATCTCCATTACCATCTTTATACTTTCGTTCGTTAGCAATGTGCGCCAGAAGAAAAGTGCTACTGAGGAAGGAGTAGCACGTTCGGCTCCGAATAGCCTCATTTCAGCTTCAAAGTAGTGCTTTGGTTAGGTGATCCAGTCTGTTATTGGTTTGTTCAGTTTATTTCCCTCTTGTATTGCTGATACTGGCGTTACTGAGGGTAGATCACTATTCGGTCGAACTCTTTAAGTGTTCCCCTACAACTAGTTGTCGTAGAACAATAATTCTCATTGCACTATATCTTTGGTATCAGACACCTAGGCTATACGCGAGGTGTCAAATGAACCCTCAATAGAACTTCATACACGAACCTATACTCATATACTTGAGAAGAACGGACAGCCAAAGGCGATGGTATACATATATATCATGTTTGATTCCAAACTACGTGCCAAGCAAATCACAGTACAACAGTTGTTATAACTAACAACAAGTTCTTGATTTATTTGTGATCAGGATACCGCCACGTCGCCCGATCCGAAGCGAGCGAATTTTCTTGGTAAACCCACCATCAGGGACTTCGGCAAACCAAAGCCTGACTGGTAAGGCAGCCATGCGGTGTATGAAAACCGCAACCCATCGGGGACCGGTGTTCAGTTCAGTTCAGTTTTCACAGCACTTTTGTGCGCCGGTTTTGGTTGCTGGTTTTCGGTCGCCCATTGAGATTAAGAGCACAGTGAGGATTGGAATGTTGAAACGAAATTCAAGAAAATAGAGAATTCATATAGACTTAAGTTTCAAGAATATTGAGTAGATGCTCGAGCGCCACTGTTTGCGATGCTCAGTGATATCGTTCAGCGTCTCTAACCACCGGTTGCCATGATTTCGGGGTCCCCATCCAGGGGGTTTAATGGGACCTATAACTCAGTGTTCTGGTTAGAGTTTTCATGTCGAGTCTTAGTTTGACCGTCCTTGACTTTCTTCCACCCACTACTTGCCTCGGCGAATATCACTAGCCGTGGCAATCAATCTATTTGGTGACATGCGTGATACATGTCAACCGCTTGCCCCATTTGACGACCGCGATTACCTAAAAATCTGCGTCTGACCTCAGCATTTCTCGTCCGGTTGTCCTACCACACTCGTGCAATGCTACGTTGACCGCGGTATTCGAACACTACAATCTATTTTTATCCTGTCTCCGTAATGACCAAGTCTTTGCACCACATAGTAGCACTAACCGAACTAAATGAAGTGTAAGCATATATGCTTACATAAGTTACAAATACAATACAATACAAAACAGCTGCTACAACATACACTCAACCCTTCACAGACAGCCGGATGTTGCGACGGCAACGCAGATGTCCCAAGTTGGCAAATGCCAACCGAGCCTTCTGGATGCGTGCCGGCACTTCATGTGTGACGCGTTTGATAGGTGAGATATAGTTGCCCGAGATAGAAAAATATGTCTACTTCCTCTACCATTTTCCCATTCAAGATGAGTTTGGGGGCTGGACCAACCCAAACTTGTATCATTTTACACTTTGAAGGTGCAAAACGCATACCGAACGTGGATACGCTGGTACTTAGACCATCTGGAAGAGCTTGCAACTTGATAGCACAATGTCGTCTGCATACTCCAGACCAGACAGTTAGCCATCTGGCAGCAAATCCATATCACTAGCCTCGCACGAGGATAGGTCTGTTTCCATAATCAACTCTATGACAAAGTTAAATAAAAACGGAGTGGGAGGGTAACCCTGGCGAACCCCACTTTCTGTAGTGAACTGGGAACCGGTGTCCAGTTTATCAGGTCATACACCCTTTGGACAGGATTTAATGGTCCAAGGTGTCCAATCCATCTCGACATTGAATCGAGCCGGTAACCACTACCAGACCCGGGTGGTATATCTGTGTGATTTGCAGTCCCCTTGTCTGTTACTTTTGAATCCGAGATTTTGGTCAAACCTCCTGCCAGTGATTTGCCCATCCGGTTATGGTCCTGAATATTGACGTTCGTTCTCTTATTTTAGTAAGAAGACATGGCGGTGGAAGGCATTGAGTAGGGCTTCCTTCACAGAGATTGAGAAACTTGCTTCTGTGGGAGCAATAGACAAGGTATAAGGGCGAATTGTCCTTGACAACCCAAGACACCCATCTCGACCATACTGAGGCCTTTTTTGGGAACAAATTTGGACCATTTCCACATTATGTTCTCTAAAAGAAGTGGAAATTATTCTCTAGGAAATTTTCACCATCGCGCAACATTTTTTTTATGGATCGTACCTCATCCACCTGAGAAGATTTACTGATTGTTTATACAACAGCTGATGACTCATCGGTTGCGTCAATAATTGCGGGCGATTAGCTTCATTCTGATCGTCACCAATTGTTCATTTTGTTGATATTTTGTCTCCTGTTAGTTTAGGGCAGCACACTAATCAAGTTGTCGCGTTGTGTTAAAAATGTAGTGGTATTTAGTGATTCAATGAACTTTTAAATCACCATTAGTATTTTTCAGTTTGGGTTGAAGTTCCGTGGTTTAAGGAACCCAACAACAGGTCTTCGTAACAGTGACGAACAAGGAAATCAAGGAAAAAACAAACATTTATCTCCCGTATCGGCCAATTCAATCAACTGAAGAAAATTTTTTCATCTTCATTTAGGCTAAACCTAGTAAAAGGTGTTCACTAAACATGCAATCGTGCACTGAAGTCACTGGTGTTAACATTATATTTTTTCATCATACTCATCTGACTCGAACTCATTTTTGCTACGTTAATTTTGTCTGCTATTTGAGAGCTAATTCGAACGTGGCGGTTTTTATTCATCTCCGTGCATTGCATGCTTTTGCCACTTCATCACACATTCTGGTCATACCATAGCCTTCAAAGTTATACGTACCACATCGAACGATTGCACCTCGTACCGTCGCGTACGAATGTGTGGTTGCAATTAAATATATACTAGTACTCATTCTACACCACTGTCCACTAATCAGTTCAGTTTCTACAAGCATTAACCATGCACTATCGTGCGCCGGTTTTGGTTGCTGTCTTTTGACTGCCCATTTGGACGAACATAAGGCGAAAGACAAGAAAGGTTGAAAGTAGGATCGAAGAGAAAATTCAGGATTTCATTGCACTAATTTTGCAGAGAAATTGACAAGATGCACGAACGCCACTGTTTACGACACCCAGCCATATCACTCAGTGTTTCTAACCATTGGGTATGATCATCCCGAGGTCCCCATCCAGGAAGCCTCATGGGACCTATGTGACCTAGACTCCTGGTTAGAGTTTTCATACCCTCATTCCAGGTTTTAGCTTGACCACCCTTGACTTTCTTCCACTCACTACTTGCCTCGGCGAATATCACTAGCCGTGGCAATCAATCTATTTGGTGACATACGTGACATGTCCCAACCAGCCTAATATCTGAAGGTCGACCACCTGCTCCAGTGGGCGACCACATTTACCTAAAACTCTGTGCCTAACCACTAATAATTGTTGACTAAACTGTAACTGTCATGCACTCTGACTTTTCTTGTCCGCTTTCGACTGACGTCAGTACCGAAAATGAGCAACGAAGAAATCGATCGTCTGTTTGACAATGCCCTTGGTGGTGCCACTTCTCCTGGACGCGCGCCCTCGTTGTTCGGCTCGGAACCGGATCCCGATGCGTTTCATGGTGCAGGCTCACCCGGGGCAATGCCTTGGGTCATGTCAGATGAATACGCGACCGATGATGACGAAGTGTCGGATATCGTAGATGAAACAATTGTGAGCGGTTTTTGCGTGTTTCTGTTCTCCAAGCATTGCTTCTTTTTGCTTGGTTATGATAAACTGCCCCCCCCGCCGCGCTCTAGGGATAGTGTTTTTTCAGTTAGCTATTCACGTTTGTAGAGACTATACACTTCACTTAGGTGATGCACAGTTGTTACTACTTGATGATTAAAAGGGGACCTAGCACAAGAACGTTGCACAACATACATGCTAGGCGAATAGAATTAAAAACTTATCCCATACTCTATGCTTCAGTCAAGGCAGAACCACGGAAACGAAACGTTCTTTCTGTCTACGCAATTCGATCTCTGTCACTGTATCACCTCAGCGAACTGCGGTAGGCGCGAATTCGAAACACGGAAAATCACATTGAACACGTGTTAAGTCAAAACAGTGCTTTGTCTTACACGAAGGACTCGAGGGTGGTAGCCTCTACGTTTCTAGGTCACATGTGCCATATTTCACCCCCATCCATTTCCTTATTTGACCCAGCTCTCATATGTTGCTGCGATCGGCTCAGGAATGCATCAGTGTTCACACCCCGACAAGCCTGTAGGTAGCCGGCTAAACCACGTAGAACGTAACCGAGGCCCAAACATCTCAGCCAGTCGGCATGCGGCATACTTACTTTACTGTACTGCGGCTGACTCCTTGGAAAGGATAAGCCGGCTCCAGACATGATCATGCCTAAGATCATGGAGTGCGTTGGGAGTTTGGTAGGAGAGATGTTCCCAATGTCACTCGGCGTTTTTTATTTTGAGGGCGCATCTCTAGCCTTTGCACAACCAAGTGCGAACTGAAAGGCAGCAGGAAGTAATCCCTCGCTTCGGAAGTGAGGGGGCCAATGACTCTAGTTTTCAAAGGCCATTCACCTCGACCTTGTCGCGACACCGTCACTGGGCTTATGCGGCTTTTAAACAGGAGCCAGGTGACCAACCTGAAACCCACCACACCTTGATAGTACCTGCGCTGTTTGTTCGCGACTGCCACAGCTTAATCACAGCTAACCTTCTTCGGTGAAGGTATCACCCTATCCGCACCCCGGTTTGCTCCTGGTATCATTCAGCTCCGTTTAACCCGAGGGTATCCGGGTTCGGCATACGATGACAGGAACTCCTTTGTGGTCGGACAAGACCCACTGACTGATTCAACGGCTGCAAATTATAAATCTGTTCAACTGACGGGAATGCGTAGATCTGTGGTTCGCATTCACATCTAGCGATTGTCAAGTCAGCTAATGGGGTACCAGAGAACTGTCGTCGTAAAGTCCGCACTCGGTTGAACGAAGGCTACGCATGCATCCGCAAAAGCCGCCTGATGCTATGGACGTCGTCTGTACCAAATGCTCGTGAAAATTCATGATCTTCATGAAGCTGGCTTGTTCCGTCCAACCAGTCAGCTGTAGTAACTGCAGTTGCAGAAGGCTTCTGTTCAAGAAAACATTTCGGGTCAAAATCACTCCTCCAGTTTGGCTTCGTATTAATCTGAAAAGATCACCGGAGTTCAATCCAGTCCAAATTTATCAGGCAGTCAAGTTTAAATTTTCTGATAAACCAACTTTAATAGCATCTTATCTGTAGAGATAAATGTATTATATGTTTATGTATGTGTTCATAAGTCACATTGCGCTGTTCTAAAGCATTTCGTGTTTTAGAAACAGTGAATATTTTTGTTTGAAATGCATTTCCTTAGCGATGGACAAGTGGGAAATTTGTTGGGTTACTACTAGGCAGTCTGTACCCAATCGGGTTGTGATGTGCGGCGTTCTAGTGATTTTGAGCCACCTGATCCGGCAAAAGCAAAAGTGAATAATAACGACCAGGTGAAAATGTTCGCACGCAAACAATACTAATCCATGTAGTTGAAATCAGTCGATTACATGCATAGGATCCACAAAGCCTGAGTAAAGAGTAAGAATAACAGCTTCTGGAAGCTTACTTGTTGTGTTTTATTGTCACAAAAGTGACCCATTTTCATATTGAATCACAAATTGCATCAAAGATATTGGACCGGGATACATGTATGCGTCCTTGAAGTGATGGCCACATGAATCAAACTAGGCATTATATGGTATTGTCCAGTTCGGAGCACCAAAGTTTACGTATTGTTGTGCTAGGCGGAGGTGATGGTCCAGTGGTTAAGGGAATCAGAATCACAGCCGGCATATTGTGTTTTCAATTCCCACTATCCTCTCCCCAAATTTGTATTCCCCCAGACAGC